ATTGCCCTTAATTTTTTCAAATATATCGAATTGACAAATAAGCGTGTGATCAGATTGTTCGAAATGTATGCCGCAAATACATCACATTTAACAAATAATCTCCGTATTAAATTACCATTGGCTACTGAGTGACACATATTAGTATACACAAACCATAAATTTCTACCCTATTGTCTCCACCTTTTGTTAATGTTACCAATCATAACAGTAGAATTTGTCAATAACTGCTTCAGACTGTACTGTCATAAATCCATTATTGCTAGAATCCCGGTGGGTGCGTACTGCTGAAGAGTCCCAAACTAGGAAGAAACAGCTGTCAAGTACTCCCAGGTTTTCCAGTGGTTCTCTAACTGATGTCAGCTCATGATTAAATCCTCCATACAATCAAACAAAATCCCTACAAAACCAATACTTGAATATTGCTAGAATAATCAAGACAGAGTAATCAAAGTTATTGCAGATCTTTTGGGGTACAAGTTTAAGACTGTTTGTTTCTATTTTCAGCTAAATGAACCTTAAATGGATTAGGCAAAGTGTCAGTAAATAATTAAATGATACACTGATGCATTTATAAACCATAAATATAAGTTTCAGTAGCGTGAGTCATATTCTGTAGTGTATGTTTTATATTCACTAAACTGACAATTGAAACCAACGGATTATTATTCCATCTTACACTTGTACTGCAATGCAATTACTGACATTTTTAACTATTGTATTCTATAGTTGGTTTGTAAGGATTAATTTTGGTTTTTACTAGTTGGTCATGGATTGATATCAGTTAGAGAACCATTGAAAATCAGGGAGCACTAGACAGCTGTTTCATTCTAAGTTGCAAATCATCGGTAGTACGCATCCATTGGGGTTCGAAACCAGGACCTTCTGGTTACAAAGCCAGCTAGCTCGTATACCATTCAGCCACTGGGACTCGATTCATAGGTCAGTCAATGAATTCTAACTTCTACCGATTCGTGATTTAGCGCGACCCCAACCAACCATAGATTTATCACAGTAAAGCCTGAAGTAGAAGTCATTGAAACACAACTGTTCGCTCAAAAATCTCTTCTTAATTCTGAAGAATAACCTTTTCAGCAGGAGAAGATGATATTTTATTCATTCGATTCCTCGTCAGTGTCATAAAACCTGAAAGAATATTTAGTCAAGTATGTGTATAGAGAAATTTTTACCGTGACTACTTAGGTAACATGAAGTCAATCAACAGGAGACTTCAGAAATGATGAAATGTACTCAGATGTCACGGTTATATGACTTGTCCTTCTTACGTAACTCTTCTTCCAGAGTATTGAAGTTGGAAACAAAAATTAACTTTAACTCTGTATACGAGTTATTATAACTCTTACTTCTGAGTATATTTCCTAATTTTTGGAGTCTCCTGTTAATGAAGTTCCTATTACCTTTGGATGTAATTTAAAAATTCTTCTGTATATATACTTAATAAGATATTTTTGGACTGCATGCGCCTGACGAGGAGCCAAAATGTCACCTTATTCTGCTGAAACCGTTGTTTTTATTTCATTCAAATGAATAAGAAAGGGAGTGAAATCACAAAAGGTTTGAAATAAGTGTCTGTCAGTTAAAAAAGGGGAAACGGGAAAAGATCGGAATAGGTATTTAAAATGTTACTTTTCGATGTTAATAGAGGATTCGTTGACCTTATTCTAGACCAAGGTAAATAAAGTGATTGGACATACTTCTTCTATATACAGAGATCAGGTCCTCCGATACTAACCTCTGTTGCTTCGGTTATTGATAGGGTACGTAGTAGAGCTCCCCCTGATAAGTTACTAGGGATACGATAGACCACCGGGATCACGTACTTTGGATTAACTGGAAGTCCACTATCCACTAAGTTAATTAAGATCATAATTTACGCATTTGGTTGCCCATTTACTGCAAAATGCTAGTATGTGCCTATGGATCCTCACAAACAAATCTCTCTAAAGTATGTTCTAAATAATTAGATCCATGGTGGCTGTTGAATTAATGGATGCCCAATGATCAGGCAATCACTGATAATTTGCCTCTGACCGTGTCAGCACTTATTTATTTGAGAAGCTGACTACCAATTTGACTGCAGGGGATGTTCGCTCAGCCGGTCGATAACTTAGAACACCTCTGAAATTTCACTTGATTTGAGACACTTTGTTTCCTTGTCTACGGTATCGAATTACACTTTTGTTAAAAATTCTTCGGATAGGTGTTTTCTTGTGGTGTAAGCTTAACCTTACACATTTTCTCATCGATGCATTGGTCTGAATTTATACATCTTATTCTTTAGCTAGTACTTTTTTAGAGGCTGACGGTATTAACGTTCGCGGATTGTACGGAGTATACTAACGCAAGATCTAATACCAACAACTTCTATAGTATTCGTTTCTCGTGGACCAAAGGCAAAGCAAAAGAGCAGAATTGGTCGTCAAAATTACGAGATATATTTCAGGACAAAATTGTAGACCAAGATGATTGCTTAGCTGGCTAGTTATCGTGCAAGAACGTGACATGACAGAGTACCAAATGGAGTGGATGTTTGACCGGAAGCCTTCAGCTAAACAAGTCGACTTAAACAGTGAGGATCAGCATCCAATGTTCAGTGATGATTGCAGTGGTCAATAATTTTGGGGAAGTATTTACCGCTACACCGTAATTAATATCTTTTGGAGCTGAAGCGGCATGAAACTGTGGTAAAGGAAGTAGGGACTAGTTCAAGAGTTCTTTCGAGATAGATTTGTAATCACATATGCATGCGTCTCACTAATAGGAGGACATCCAGGAGGGATACACCTTTAATTTATTTTTCCTTACAAGTGAAATGAATTGCAGCTAGTGAACATTGTTGACAGTATTCAAAAGCACTTGCTTGTTGAAGTCGCTGCTACAAACGATGAAATTTTAGTCTGTATATTCATAATGGTAATATCCAAGTTCGTTGAGTGTGTCCCAAAAAGGAACACTTTAAAGTTTTTCTAGAATAATGTCTTCCAGTAGGGGGGTCCAGGGATGACCTCATTATAATTTCAGCATATTGTCTTTAGAACTGATTGTCGAACATAAACCGGCTTTTTTCTTGTGCATTTCAGCTGTAATTCTTTAACCTTTTCAGATGGGATTCTTACTTCTCTCTTCCGTTCCGTTAGCTCATCACATAAGAAGTAACTGAAAGTTTTGAGAATCGGGAAGTTGGTGAAGAAAAGTGCTACATCCAGTCATGCCATTTTCGTTTAATTTACATACAGACTTGTCCATCTTGTACATATACAACAACGCAGTCTCGGAAATAATTTTATTCGCCGTTAGTGGTTATCGTATGCTAACATTGACGGATTAATTAATATCTGTGCAGATTGAAGAAGAATTCGGTGGAGATGATAACCATTCCGTCCCATTGTTTTTTAAGATATTTTCATCAGGAAATAAAGCTGTATACACAACAGAATTTATGGATGCACCATTTGTTGATTACTTGGGAAGTTATTGTATTGTTCCCACCAATGATTTATGTTTGTTTCAAGTATCCACCATCTGTGATAATTCACTTTTCTTGTGAGAATCTTCCACCTCAATTGAAATATCACAGTTCCAAACATATTACATTAAAGTGATTAGCAAAATATGATCCATAGTTTAGCCTTCAAAATTGCATTCATACCAGACGGATAAAAAAAACACTCTGAAAGTGAAGGGAGACACATCTGAATCAGAACTTATAAATGAAAAAAGCAGAGGTTTTCGGAGTCTTTCCTGATTGATATTGTCTTTCTCTTCAACTGGATGGATCTTACCTTCTCAAAACTGTTTTGGCTTACACATAATCTCGAGAAATGTACTCAAATGAACATTTAGTTAATGGCCTCAATGAGTCTAAGCACGTAGTGCTAAGTCGGAAATAACTGTTTGCCATCTGCAAGTGTTGAGGCAATTTAAGTATTATATTGTCCCCAGGAGTTATTTAAAATAAAAGTACATTTTCAGGATTTCATCATGAGCTGACAGTAGTTAAAGAACCATTGGAAAACCTGGGAGTACTGGACAGTTGTTTCGTCCTAGTTTGGGACTCTTCATCAGTACGCACCCACCGCCACGGTTCGAACCCAGTACCTTCCGGTTACGAGGCGAGCTCGTATACCATTCAGCCACTGGGACTCGATTCATAGGTCAGTCAATGAATTCTAACTTCTACCAATTCATGATTTAGCGCGAGCACCAAACAATGTCATTGGTGGGAACTCCATCCTCACACTTGACTGGATGAACCTCACTGGTCACTAGAACTTCAAGAAACTCCGTCCTGTAGCACGTCACTAGCGAGCATCAGTGGCTGAATGGTATACGAACTAGCTGGCCTTGTAACCAGAAGGTCCTGGGTTCGAATCCCAGTGGGTGCGTCCTACTGAGGATTCTCAACTTAGGATGAAACAGTTGTCTGGTGCTTCCTGATTTTCAATGGTTCTCTATCTCATATCAATCCGTGGGCAAACTCGAAAAAAGATTATTGGTATTTGCATTACCAAATTAGCGTCGATGGCGCTGCCGTAGAATGCTCACCAACCAGGCTTCGTGTGGTCTGGGGTCCAAGGTCGACACACTCCTTTACTTCGCTAAATCAGTAATAAGACTGGTAAAGAGGGAAGGTTGGGCTAGCAAGCCTACCCCATAAAAATAAACACCACTGCTACTGAAGCTTGAAGCCCTATGCTCCACTGTGAACGTAAAAAAATAAAATATTCCTAACTCTAGTACTTGACATAATTCAGAAGACGAAATATATTATTTAATACAGATGAGACTAGTTAATCAAATTATGAAAAACAAAATAAAATTGATTTTCACAGATTTTCAAAAAATGTTGTTACAGCTAATACCGGCAGTTTACATAATGAGTAACCAAATGAATATTTAATTAAAATCCGCTGTGAAATAATGAGCAGTATTTTCTAGGTCAAGATGTGGGTATTCAGGTGATATATAAGTTAAAGGCGATTATGTCTAAAATGGAACCAATTCAAAGTTCAACTAGAAGAAACGTAAGTGATTATTCAGGATTATATAATTTCTCATTTTACGACAATGTTATACAAAGTGTACTTTTATAACGCCTCACTATCTAAAAAACTATGGATATATTCAGTAATGAAAATATTCACATATGAGCAGACCTACATTATATTCTTGCAACTTCAATGTATGGACTGACTGGAGAGTTAGTTATTTGCTCCAAGAAATAGAAATGTTGCAAACAGTTGCCGTTTGAGTTATGCATTCAGCCATTTATAAAACACTCCTGCCTGTAACTCACTGGCTTATAATAACTTTGTGGTTATTTTCTTCTTCTAAGAAACAGCTAGGATAAAAATGCAATTTGAAGTAGTTCTTCTCTTGATCAAAATTAACATCATGTATTTTCTCTCACTATTTTGTTCCCCTGTAAAAATGACTTAATATTTCGAAGTATGCTGGTGATTCGTGCATCTGCACTCATGAAGGGATTCGGGTCGCTTCTGAGACTCAGTGTTTCAGTCAGAAACATTACCACTGAGCTATTCCGAATCGCGATTGACCTTCAGTTAAACTGTTATGGATACTTTCAATGGACACCAGGTAGTAACTAGTGTTATGTCATGTCAGTCTGCACCGAAAGAAAGGACTTGATTCATGCATGATATTAGTTGCCACTTAGTGTCAAACGAAAGTATGCTTCAAGGTACAACGAAGTGAATAATCAATTCGGACAGCCTACTATAGATACACAGATGACGCATTCATTGTATGCAATGATTTACGTCTCGCTTCATTTCTATTGGGCTTATTCAGCAATGTACATTTGAGTATCACTTTCATGATGGAGCACGTAGATGCTGTCAGTTTCCACTTCCTGGATATAAACTTGGGGAAGAAAACGAATAGGACACTCGAAAGATCGATGTATCGTAAAGACACACAGAGCAGTCTCTACTGAAACTTCAACAGCTTCTACCCAGTCAGTTATTAACAAACGCTGGTGGAAACGCTTTTCTCCAGAGCGAAAAGAATATGGCCACCGGATAAATTAAAAAGTCAACTAATGCTGCTGGAGAATTTCTTGAAAGAAAGTGGTTAACCACAGAGCTTCAATGACAAATATGGTAAGAATGAATGTAAGAAACCTGATGTGGCTCTACGGTCAGCAAGAAGCCAATTCTCATCGAACTCGACTTCAAAGGCGACGATTCAAAGGGAATAATAAATAAAAGACTAAGCACAGCCCAGGACGATTCTCTGCGAGCACCCTACTCGTTGGTGCAGTCAAAGATCGACAAATGCCCGTCATATGCTACCTCCAACTGTCTATACCAAGCATATGTATCTGTGGGAGCAGTTTCATTGGAGGAACAAAAAGAAGGGTCTATATCAGATTCTTCAAATATTTACCAAGAAGCTTCCGGTTAAAGGGGCCAAGTAGTTTAATCTCTTCATTTACCAAACACCTGATAGACACTAGACACAGAGTAGATGCGCTGGCGTCATTCAGAATAATTAAAAAAACAAAATAGCTCAAGTCTTCTTCGGTATGTTAAGGCTATCGCAATAAAGTGGCTGGAACCTCACTGATGTATCCACAAGAAATCTGTCGTTAAACTTCAGTTACCGTAGTGAATCATCCCGTAATAACTCTTTGTTTTCCTTTCAACTTCCCTCCTTTTTTTCTGTTTGACCTTACGATATTACATCGTCATCTCTTCATTTGACCTAATGCATACCAAATTTTGATCTTCTCTTGTCTAACTACGTAATTGTTGTTAATTTGTTTAGTCACCACCCTAAGGAAAAACCTGTCAATTAATTTTCCAGAAACTTCTCTCTAACAAGATATATATATATATATATACTAACACTTCACCTACCTTACCATCCTGACTTTTTTATCTCAACATGACACTGTTACAATATGCTTGTTGATGACAAAAGTCTGTTACATTTCACTTAGATTTTTATTTATTAAAGATTATAGGCTGTATGCAGCTGATGAGAACTAACGAAATAAAATGGATCCATGTTACCCAGCACCAATACTTGTTTATTCTTCGCTCAGATTTTTAAAGGAAATTCATAGATGAATTTTTCTCCATGGAGATTAATTTACTTCATTGGTGTCCAGGCATTTGAAACCATTAAAAGGTTATTATTCTTGTGTGATCCTGCATAGTCAGTATGCATTCCCAAGCAGCAACTGTCTATGGGAGAAAAAGCAGACAAGTTTGATATATTTTCGCGATGATAACGCCTTCGTGTATTTTATTTTTTTGTTTGTCGGGGTTGTGGGGGGGTATGAATTCACAGATGTCATCCGGCGGAAAAGCATACAAGTCCCGTGATTCGATCGTGCCTTTTCCCGATGAAGCTGTGTATCTTAGAGATCGGCAAATCATATAAATGTGTATGCTACAGAACACTTAACTTTAACCTCTTTTTGAAACTTTCTGCACATGGTGTGCTCATAGAGACAGAATTTTAACAAGAAACTGAAGTTTCCACAAATCAGTCATGGGGATTGAGACTGAGAATGGCATGAATTCTTTTTAACAGTCGCTTGTTAGACTTCTGGTGCTTCTGTTGGAGAGTATGTAAGCCTTTGTACTCACTGCTGAATAGTGATTCCAGTGGATCGTGACTAGTGATTTACTGAGGCCAGGTGGCGCAGATGCATCCACTCCTTGTGACTTATGATCTCCAATGAAACTTTTGTTTTTCTTTATTACTCCTTTGTCTCACATCTCTGCTCACTGTTTCTGTTATGCTTTTCTTATACTTTCTTTTCTTGCTTCGCGTGCTACACGGAGTGTGGCGACTTGAACTTCCGCACATGTGTGCAAAGTTCTATGTCGAAAACAGACAGACAGACAGGTGATATTACTGATGATTCGTTGTGTTTTACACTTCGGATGTTACTCTGCAAAGTGTAGCTTTAGAGAGGTCATCAGCATACTTAAGAAAAGTATGCTGATGACCTCTCTGTTTTTATGCCTGTCAACAACTCTCAGCCAGATTGTTCCAATTTAAATAACTTTCTATCGGAAATTAGTCAGTGGTCCTCTTCAAACGGTCTTAAGCTGAATCCGTCTAAATATCAGGTAGTCAATTTCACTTTCAGACGTAAACGTGACCAACAACAACTAGTTAGCTCACATGGCCCCACTATCATTGACGGCACAGAGGTTGAAAATACATCTAGTGTCAAGTACCTTGGTTGAGTTTTCCACCGATCTTTCTGGTCTCCCACATCTTACTAGTTACTAGAAAGATGTTTCGCTTAACGTTCTACATTAGGAAATTTAGGCAGTCTGGCATAAAGCAGTCTTTGCTTTCTCAGTTTGTAAATTCTTGTATTCTACCCATCCCCCTTTACTCCTCCCCATTAATCTTTCCTGGACTACTTCAGAAAGACTTTGCTTTGCTGAGAAGGGCACTAAAAGTTGTTAGTAGGGCAAGTGGGATATCGTTTTATTTTTTGTTTTTTGATTACAGCTTGATTCCACACTGTATTTTTGGTAAAAGTATGGAATTTTCAGCATGGATATCGGTAGCCCAAATTTCGCAGGCCGACCATAGATATCAAGTGTACGTCGGCAGGAGATCGAACCCCGAACCATGTGTATGCTCGGCGAGAGTCCTAACCCCTGAGCCACCGATGCACCAACTAGTTAACAATATTGTGGACAGACATATAATGTCATGTAAGAAACTAGCGAATACAGTATTGTCAGACCCCGAGCATTCTCTCTACAAGCAGCTCTCTCCTTGCATTTCATCTGGTAGAACTAGAAGCAGCTATAGGCGGCTATATGCTAGGACCACCAAATACAAAAACTCCACAATACCATATCTGGCACAGCTGTTATGTGATGAGAAATCCGTTAGGTATGACACGATAAACTTATTGCGGCACTCTAACAAATAGTCCCATTAGTTTTTGTTTTCCTTTCTCCGTTACTATTACACTGTTGTTCTCATCTTCTATTATACACCAATTTTATATTTCATATCCTGTGGTGCATTGTTTAAAATGTAAACGCAACGCTGTTTTCTTTTTATTTATCTTTTCTTGGTGTTGCTTTTTGATTTTAAAATCTTATAAATTTATGAGGTAATTAGATGCAATATATTGTAATGCACGCTGAAAATTCCATACCTGTACCACAAATACTGTTTGGAATAAAGCTGTTATTATTATTATTAAGATAAGATTCAGATACTGACTATAAGAGAACAGGGGAAATCCACGCCTGAAGAATAATTTAATTCACTTAGATGAGTTGAATTAAATGCCTGACAATGAAGAATTACGTGTATAAACGACCAAAATAATGTCTAAACCTCTTTCTTGTGTTATTATTATTATTTTTTAAAATAGAATTCATTAACATTAACATTCAGTATTTCAAAAAGTACAAATTCCACCGATAGTTCTCCGTCTTCTCCTTCAAGAACCAGTAAAATACAATCACAAAAAGAACAAATAAGTCCAGGTCAATTTCCAGATGCTTTGATGAATACTGATCATTTTCATCGTAAACACTTAAATCCACTTAATAATCCTGTGCTTCATGTTTTGGCTTTGAAAAATTCAAATAATTTTAATAAAAATCAACTTCCAGACTATGCACGTAAAGAATTAAAGAAATTAAAAGAAAAGTTAAAAGAAAATCATCACAAATCTGTCAACAATATTGTACATTCGCATAGTCTTGAAGCCTTGGCTACTAGTCTTTCTGGTAGTTCATTACCATCAGTCAAAGTAAAACAATCTAATGTGAATAATTCTCCGCGAAAATATCATCCAGTCAAATCAAAGTCTCCTGGTGTTGATATTAAATTTAATGATGAATCGTCTAAATCATTAGGCGAAGTTAAACCAAAATTATCAACACATGAACCGACAAAAAAGTTGACTTCAAAGAAAAAAAGTAAGTGCTACATTAGTTTCGATTTGTTTTTCTGGTCACAAGGTTTGAGGTCACAAGTAATTGTGTAAGCCATTCAAAGTCACGTTGGACCACTGACTAGCTACAATCCCGATATGCTTATTCTAGTGTATTTGAATGATTTAATAAAATAGCTGATGCCGTGTCAGGCATTATGATTATTACATTTATTTTGAACACTGTCAATGTTTCACATTCATTCTCAGTATTATTGGTTCGCTAGTCATCATGAGACTAGTACTGCGTAATTTGTGCATTTATTATTATTATTATTATTATCATTATTAATGACGACACCAACAATAAGGAATCTGAATCATCAGCAGCAATACCATACAAGAAAGGAACCTCGGAAGCCTTACGTAGAATTCTTAACAAAGCAGGAATAAAAGCGGCTGGCATTCAAGTCACCCACAAACTCAATTAGAAACAGGCTTTGTCGGTTAAAGGATCCTGTGGAGCCTTTGAAACAAAACAATTTAGTTTATCTAATACCCTACTTGAATGATTTTCAGGTCAAATACATTGGTCAAACTAGTAGAACAGAGGCAGTCAGACTGGCTGAACATAAAAATTCAGCAAAATCTAGATTGGTTGACTCAAATAAGATAAGAAATCTAGAGAATAGTTCAGCTGGCTATAGCACTACATGCAGTTACACACAACCATACAATAGGCTGGATGGGATAGGACGACAGTTTTAAAATCTAATGTCTCAGGGTGGAGGGAGAGATTGATAACAGAAGCTTTGTTTATCGAATCAACTGAGACAGCATACGTGTAATAGGAATGATTCAACAACTGTCCCAGATATCTGGAAAATCCTACTACCCCTACGACAAATAGGAGAGGACAAAGAAAACCATAAAACTCAAGTTTCGAAGTCGTGTGATTATAATTGATATGATTATGAACAGTAATAAATTTTGTTCGAAACATCATCCAGTAAATAATACTATTTCACTGTGTGATACATCTAATAAACAAACTAATATGGAATGCTGCTTTACAAAGAAAATCGAAAGATGAATACGGCTAACGCTGTGTTAGGAATTCCAAAATAAAAAGAAACACTTGTTTGGTTATAGTCACTTGTTGAAATAATATTTGTTTTGCCTTGAGTAACATCCATAAGTGAATATAAATTGCAGAACTCGACTTTAGCAAATAGGTATTTTCGGTAAATTCTCATTTGAATTAATGTGGTTAATAAAATATAGGATTACATTTCAGGGATGTAAGTTAATGGATAACAATCAAGGTGGTCACAATCTGTCTGTCTGTCTGTCTGTTTTCGACATAGAACTTTGCACATATGTGCGGCAGTTCAAGTCGCCAAACTCCCTCCTTGTAGCACACAAAGCAAGAGAAGATAGTACAAGAAATGCATAATAGAGACAGTAAACAGAGGTGTGAGACAAAGCAATAGTAGTGACGAAGAACAAAACAGTTTCATTGGAAATCATAGATCACAAGGAGTGGATGCATCTCCGCCAGCCATTGAGAACAATTTTGAGTCATGTCACCAATTGTTTCCAACCATTGGTTTTTACTGTTCCGCGGACCCCAACCAGGAAGTCTACACCTTCCTACGTGGCTTAGGCTAACTGTTGTGGACTTCATTGACTGGTGCCATGTTTTGGTTTGACCGCCGCTAGCTCTTTTCCAGCCTGACCCTATGTAAGCTAACATTGCCCGTCGAGGAAGGTGATGACCAGGCATACGTAACACATGTCCTAACCATCTCAGTCGATGTAACTTCACAACCTCGTCGATCGATTTCCCCTGCTTACCTAGAACTCGACGCCTAACCTCAATATTGCTCACCTTATTATACCACTTCACACGGGAAATACAACGCAGGCAGCTATCATCAAAGACAGCTAATTTTTTCATGTCTTCCACTCTCAATGGCCAGGTCTCACAGCTGGCCATAAAGGAGGACGGAGCGGACTGATGAGCAGTACACCCGCCCTTTGGTCGATAGTCGGATAATAATAGTCACAATAATAATAATAATAATGTGTAAATTCATTTATTTGTTAATATAATCTAGGCAACGGTTAGTGTACAGGTAGAGAATGTGCATACTAGTAAGGGCTAGAGGGCGAAATAACTATTATCACATAGCGATTAGATAATATAATAATAAAATATTGTGAAACCGAGAGTAAAATGTACAACTACAGCACAGCATGATATTGATGTTGACTATTCATGGGGAGACAGTTAAATAGGTAGAACGACTCGGTAAGCCCATACTCACTCGCCTTCTGGAGCATTGTCCAACGTGGTTTTGTAGAGGAGCCTTAAATTCAGTCAGAAGCTCCATACTAGCACTAGCACACCTAGTGGGTTTGAGACACAGGGTGCATAAAAATTCAGCTTTTAAAACTCTATACAAGATGCTACCACAACTCCATAGGTCGGTACGTCACTGGCTGCTAAGCATAGGTGAGGCAGTTACCATAATGATTTTCCAACTCAATCTCTATGTTCAGAAGAAGTTTGTTTAATCTCTCTCCCTAGTAAATAGCTGTATTTTATTTTGTTTTATTTGTAATGCTATCTGTATTATCAAATATCATGCTGTGTCGTAGTTGTACATTTTATTCTCGGTTTCACAATTTATAATTATCATATTATCTAGTCGCTATGTGACAAATAATTATTTCGCTCTCCAGTCTTACTTTTTATTCCTTTACGTTCTCAGTGGAATATAGGGCTTCAAACAAGAGGCTTAAAGTTTCGGTAGCAGTGGTGTCTATTTTTACGGGATGGGGATGCTAGCCTCATACCCAGTCTTCCCTCTTTACCAGTATTATCACTGGCTTGGCGAAGTAAAACAGTGCGTCGGTTGAGGATAGAACGTCGGACCACATGCGTGGTTGGCGAGCTAACTTTTAATTTATAGCTACCATAGCAAGCTGTCATTCCATATAGTCGGGTAAAGGTGTAACTCCATTATGGATAAGATTTTATTTTGATAAATCACACAGTGGAGTTAAACAGTAATATTAACTAATGACGTTTCGAGCACAAACTATTGCCCCTCATAATCATATCAAGTTACTCACACAACTTTGTTCTTTCATTTATATACATGTGTGGAATCGATTAGACATTGGATTAAAAACCAGCATGAGATCATGTACACCAAGAAATAATAAAACGAGTGTTATTAATCAATAAAACAAGTGTTTTTTATAGTCATAATAAGCTACTTGTTAGAATGTTGTGATGTGTTTGAATTGAAATAGAATTTTAAGATTATTTATTATCCTCTTCTGATTTGACCAGCGGTAATAATGTATTCATATCTCTGGTATTTGCATTGAGTTATTTCTGTTGCATGTGTTCGGTGTAGATTCAATGAACAAGGATTCCGTAATCAATCTCTTTCTCCACCTACCTAGATTACTTTTTAGAATTTTAACCCTTTCCCACCCACCCTATTGTGTGGTTGTGTGTTATTGCGTGAAATGAAATAGCTGAGCTTTTTTCTAAATTACTTATCTTCTCGAGGTCAACCATTCTTACCTTAGCTAAATTCCTACGTTCTGATAATTTGACTACCCCGACCTACTACTTTGACCTATGTAGTTGACCTCACAGTCATTGCATGGTATTTTGTAAATTATATTATTTTGTCTAATCGGGTCAACAGGGTCCTTCAACCTACAGACCTTGTCCCTGAGTGAGTTTGTAGGTTTGAATTCCACCCTAATTCCTGCTTTATTTATCAAAATAACATCTTATCCATAATGGAATTATACTTACTCTACCACAGTGCCCAAGTTTTATACTTATATCAGGTCTAGGTGATCTATACACAGGAGAGATCAGTTTGACGAATTCAGAACAGACACACGTGGCAGAATATTCATCTTGACTTAGGCCTAAGATTCAGTTGGATGGGTCCTTTTGAAATAAATTATGTCTTTGTGTGTGTGTGTGTGTGTCTAGGTTTTTCGAAATGTCTAAGGCAACCATAACTGCTAAGTTTATTCTTCTTATGTACACAGATTAAATGTAGATTTTACTTATAAAGTCAGCAAGCAATTCATGATCAGTGTTTGTGGAATACATTCTAATTGTTACCCTCTTTTTTAATCATTTTACTCAAGATCATTCGATTGGTGAAGGTGAAACTAAAGTTTCAATGTTACGTCAAGTTGAACTTGTACATTCCGACGACGATGATGATGATGATGATGATGATGACGATGCAACAACAATCGATGATGAAGCCTACGATGAAGATGATTTACCTGGTGAACGGAAGAAAACTGATATCTTACGAAGTAATGTTAGTGAAAGTGGTGAAATTCCCCTTGGTAGTTTGCGACTAGATCATACATATTCATCAACAACATACAACAATCCAAGAGATGATATAAATATAGCACGTGAAATAGTTTCCAAAGTGCTTCGTGATACAATTGACCTTGGTGAACGTTCTGGAGAGGATTCATCTACTAATTAGAACTGTACTCAGATTTTAAACCTTTTAATTCGTTTTCAATATTTGCAAATTAAAAAAAAAAGTGAAATAAAATTTATGAACAGTCGTATCCTGGCAATTATTCATTTTTAATTTGTTATAAATGGCAGTACTTCAACAAATCCACTTGATTTAGGTTTATAAAACTGATTGAATACGTCTTCTGTAACTGACATGGTAGGATTAAATGTAAGTTTGTAAAACAAATCACCAATCGATATAGATATTACGGTATTACAAATTTCACCAGGTTAATCATGAAATCATTAACAGAACTGAGTTATCTATCTCTGAAGTCATATTCAAATTTATGACACCTGTGCTTGCGGGTTCAATAGTGCATCGTAGTTCCTTTGTTCCGCCTCTGAAAATTGAGTCCCCTTCAGTATCTTTCACTGGCACTATCTGCGTTCTTGTCTTCCAGGATCAAGACCTCAATTTTCGATTAGCACTATGAGATCACTGTCAAGCACAACTTTTCCTGCATTACCTATCTCAAACTCCACTTAATAATGAACATATGTCCCAGAGCACATATACTGGAGCGACAGAGAGTTGCGTTATTGTCCGATTTCTAAACACAAACCAGAGACACAGTTTTCGCTCAGCAAAGAAATATTTCTTTTCGAGAAAGCTGTAACCGTGCCCTCCATGAACGAGTATCATTATTATTTCTTTTAAATCCTAGAGGAACATAGGGCTTCATCCGCGCGCCTCCATAGCGTTCGGTTTCCTGCCAGCGTTTTCATCCCTCTCCAAGTCTGTCAACACGCTTTCATCTCCTCTTCACATGACCTCCTTCAAGTCTCCCTTCCACTCACGACCAACTCGCCGCTTCCCTTTCGGGTACCACTCGAGTGATGGCTTGTCTAGTGGCGTCACTTGATGGTTTCTTCACAGTATGGCCAGGAAACCATCAGGTGACATTACTAGACAACGTGAACGAGAAGCTGAACACTATCAGGGTTAGGTAACCAGAGGTAAGCAAAGGACTACGAAGTCTTCAATTTGTGAACACCTTCTGAAATCAAGTCATTCAGCCCCACTAGCATTATCCTTCAAAGTTATCAACAGGAGTAAATCCGAACATTTTTAAAGCTTCCGTTTTCTCCAATTATGCATAGCCGAAGCACTAACTATACATGGCGAAAATCCTAGATGGTGTGTTCAAGAACCTTCCGTTAAACCCTTCTCTTTGCCTTGGTCATATTAGTGTTTTTTTATTTCATTATACTTTACCACTTGAACTCATCCCACCTCAATTCAACTTCACCGTCTTCAACAATATCATCATCGTACACTCTGATTTCTAAGTAACACGAACTGTAAATTTATAATCTTTATACCAACCAGTTCAGTTGTTTAATGATCATTAACGCTACTCCCTCAGTACATCATTTTAATTACCCTTATTCTCATCACATGTATGTGGACTGAACAATTTCTAGTGCCATTCAATGCCTTTTTCCGTAATATAAATACGACTGCATAGTTGTCTTGAAAATGAAATCGTTGTAAAGGAATATTGCATCGCTGATCAAAACGTGTGTCTTTCCTTACAAACCAGAGAACCTGCAACTGTAGGCGACGGAAGTATTAAACAGTGTGATTGGACACTAGTTATACTGTGAAAAATCTGATGGCGTTTAAAATAATCAACATGTATAAGGAACCTAGTCTATTCCATTTCGCTAAAACTGAAATTCTCCGTGTTATTGCATCTCCATCCACTGTAGTCAGTTTCAACTCCAACTCGGTTGGGACCAACAATCACGACTTCTCACTTAGACTCTCCGTAATATATGTATGGGCCAGTCAGTCAGTCAGTCACTAAAGATAATTTGTCCTCTCTAGATTTGAGTAGAATTATCTCGAGTCGTCTAATTTCGATACCTTCAGTGGTCTACACAGGTCGATTCGTTGAAAACAACTTGGAGAATACGGTGATGATGACGACTTTATTGTAAACAACAGTCTCGATGCAGTGTAGTTCATCACTAATGCACCACGTAATATTCTCTTCACATCGGTCGGATATTACGGGAAAAACCAGTAACTAGAGACCTGGACTATTCTCATAGTAATACTAACAGGGATAGTATATAATTGTAAGAATGAATTATAAGTTAATCGGAAGAGTGAGACAAATCACCTCCTAACGTAGGATATCTAGAGAGAAAATTGCCAGGCGGGAGATTGATTAGAGTCCAACAGCATAACTTTGTTAATTTCTTCACTGAGTTGAAATATTTGTCGACTGACCATCTGATTATCGTTGACAGACATTTAATGAATTGTAAGTTGAACGGTGAATTGATTAAGTGACTTTGCTTGCCAACACAGAGGGAACGTTTTCGACGGGAGTATGATCGGTTTTCATGCTTGTCGATTTGAAGTCTCGAAATTCATTTGAGATTGAACATCGACTCGTGGTCATGAGTGTACTTATTCACGGATTTATAAGCTGTGTGAGTGAGGAATATTTGAAGTATCACAAGTGAGTAATCAAAAGTCTTCTGGAGTATTGCAAAGTAATACTGTAACAGCAGAAGACAAGGGCCAGGCAACAGATCGTTCATTAAGGAAATCAACCCATATTTATAGATTTTCATGTACATATTTTGGATTATTGTTAGCAGGAAACACAGTCTTCTGATTGGTTGTTTCTCACAGAAAGTTAACCTTGCATCTCTTTGTGGTTATTTCTTGAATATCAGATCATCTATATGTTAACTGTATCCGCCTACGCAAAGCCTTTGTCCTCATTTTCCTCACGACCAATATTGCGGACATAAACATTGACGTGAATTACTGTCCACCAATTTTGACTAACAGCCAGCTCTCACCACAATACTAACCAGCGAGATAAGTTGAGCTTATGATTCATTGTCTTGTAGACTCTTGTTATGTGTTTACAGCCCGAATGATACAAAAATATAAATTATATGAAATATTTGAACATAAGTTTCGATGTGATGAGATCGAGTGTCAGACTGGAGACATGGGTAAGATAACGATGGAATGATGTGCGTTGTTGCGTCATTAGGTATTATCTCACTCATCCCACTTGTCATTCTAAGTCATTTGTTTTGCAACGATAAATTCTATGTTACTAAATTTCACACAGTTTTATGTGACGTTTTTATTTTTATTTTATTCACCTACCAATACTCTAATTTAACACCCCCTTCGAACACCTATTTTCCTATGAATTTTTCTATATATGACATTAAGTGTTTTGCTACTCGGTATAATCACGAACATTTTAGTTGCATTTTATGCTACTATTATTTTTTTTATGCATTCACAACTATGATTCAATTCCCTCACCGGATATTATTTCATAGAAACCATATTTATACGAGTGTACGTCTTGATAATAAATTGGTTGAGAAAAGTGTCTTCACTGAATCCCTTGGTTTGATTTTCTAAATACCTGGTTGTCTGATATGATCTTCTGAGGTCTCGTCTACTTCTAGCCTGTCTGTTCTGCCTCACTTGCCAGCCAGTGTGTCATAGAATTGTCTTTTGTCTTTCCTAGCACTCTTCATCACTCCTCTATTCAGTTCAGTGTACGTCGAACTTAGCTTCTCCTTCTCCTGTCGTCCATATTCGAATTGGTCCATCCTCTGTTTCATCATTTCCCTCTCTTCTTTTAGCTTACGGGTAGCCATTGAGAGTAATTTCTTGTCTTGGATCTTCTTTCCTCCTAGACCGGTTGTACACGTTCCCTTGAACATCACCTTCAGTGAGTTAGTTCCAATGTTCTTCCATGCAGGTTTCCTGAGTGATGCCACGTAGTGTCTCCAACTTCGCTCTGATGAATGCAGTTTCCGAGTGGTAAATTTTGATTGTGTTCTGTCTACAGTTGTACTGAATGCTTTCAGCTTGACCTTGAGGGTCTCTTGAACTAGATGGTGTTCTGAGTACACATTTGCTTCCCTTCTCGACTTTCTGTCCAGAAGGCTGTGTCTCCACTTTCTTGAAGTAGAGATTAAGTTTATGTGACTTTCGATGCATCCGTCAGGTAAAATCCGTGTTGCTTGTGTACATCCTTGTGCTTGTACACGCTACCTCCAGTCACCAAATCACTGAAGGCTGAGTGGTCTACGAAGGGGTTCTCCGTTCTTATTGAGTTTGCAAGGGGCTTCTCGTCCCTTGATGAATTATCTTCTTGTATTTTCTGCTCCCAGTTTATAAATCATAACGCCCAAGGGGATTTTGATGTCACCATTTGAGATTTTGTCCATTACTGTTTGCAGTTGTCTTTCTTCTTCTTCTTCTTCTCCACTCAGTCTGCTTCTTTCGCTTACGCGTAGCATTGTAACTTTCCTTGCAGGGGATCGGTTACCACCGCATGTGAGCTTCGACCTCGACTGGTGACATCATGATAGCTACTCAGTGTTTTCGTGGTTGTCGTCTGGGTGACCTGAGTAAACTGCTGACTCACCAGTTGACAATTTCGATAGTCCACATCCAGTCCACCTACTCTCATAGATTCGCAGCACTTTCATGTCATACCGTCTAATTTACTTGGCTACCTGAACAGCCTTCTTAGCTTCATACATTGTACGAACATTCAACATCCCAGTGCCTAGTTTAGCTCTCATCAAAAGAAGACGCATTTGCTGGCTGACTGGCTTCCCAAAGTCTTTGACCAACTCTCTGTGTCATTTCGCCTCTCAGATTCCAGCAAAGAATAAGTTTGTCTTTTATATTTTCCATGTGCTTTGAAGTTTCTTTAGAGATTGAATTCATTTTCCAGAGTGGGTTCGCTAGTCTCACACCCAACCCTCCTTATTCTCCCGGATTTGAGATTAGTTAGAAATCTAGTGAGGTAGTAGACTAGGCGACGGCGGTGGTGGTGGTGGTCGTTGTGTTGATCAAAAAACATCTGCTAATTATGCGATTTGGTTGAGGAAAGAGAAGAAAACAGAGGGAACTTATCAAGACAATATCAGAATAGACTTCATTTTTAATGAACAGGTTAATAGATAAATCGCTCTTGATGAAATAAACAGCATGAAATGTAAATAATATTTATGCTTGTACGTGATGTTTCATTAGACTGATGATGTACCACTTAAAATCAAAGATATCCATATTTCCGCCTGCTTATGTGATAGCCGTAAGGTTACACCCTGTGGAATCGCTGCAAAGCCTTCTTTGGAAGTGGGCAGTAAGTGTCTTTTAAAGACAATTAAATAAACATCCATAGGAGTGATGTTAACAACTGTAAAAATGTGCAGTTGTAACAGTAATAGTAATAATAATGAAAATAGTGATAATAATGGAAAGTCAATTCGCTTCAAATGTTAGTTTCACAGTGTTTACTAAAATTCAACCTGCGTTGAATCTACATTTCTCCTCATGACGACAATGCTATGAAGTATACTTTATAGGTTTCAGAAACAACTATGCAAAGACAGGTGAGTTTATTCAGTAATTACTTCCATCTGCAACCAATTAATACTACAGTAAACAATTCTGTTGGCATTGGCGATAATGTAGAGTCATTGATGAAGTGAATGACCTTTAAGGGTAGGAAGTAACGTGTTCGATTGCCCTTGGTCTATAGAAGTTTGTTCAGTCAGCTTTAATATTGAAAGTGACTTGAGTAAAATAATAAGTATCCAAGTATAACTATGGTTACCAAACTGCTCATTAGTTTTACACACATTCACTGTTACTATATTTGCAATTATTATTACTTTGTTGGATAAGTTCACATCAAAAGACGCTTATGATCTGTCTGTACACTCCTTTACTCACACAATATAACAGAATCGGATAATTTTATTAGGCATTGTGAAATAGTAGACTTTGAAACCAAATAGGATCGATGAACTAATTTCAAATATGATAAATATTGGTGGATGTAACTGTGAAGTACGCCTGTGTATCAGCTTACTAAGAAGGAAAAATCCTAATAGTAAGTACTTAAAAGTGAAATTTGATTTCTTTTAATGTATTAAAAATTCATTTCTTTTTCATATATTGTCTGAATAGAGTCCTTTAGCCTACAGAACTTGCCACTGAATGACTTTGTAGGAGTTTGTGGGTTTAAATACCACCCATACATATCCTTACTTTATCAGGTATCCTATGTAAGGTTTCAGATGTCAAACTCCTTATTTATATTATGGTCAGTGGTTCCACTGATATTTTTCATTATGTTGTTACTGAACTTCTCAGTAAATTTCATCAGGTAGTTATGTAGCACGAATGTTTCATCTATCTGTTTTGTTTCATCATTTAGGTATTCTGTAGTACTTCTCAGAATTTTCGCTTGATCGATTGCACACTCAGCCAATACTGCCTGTCCACTCCTAGTGCCCAGCTAGTGCCGTCTGTACATTTTCTAACTGAATCGTAGATTGAACTCCCTATAATTTACAGTTTATACATTTGTAATCCGTTTAGAATAACAATTTTACAATTATATTCTAACCCTGTGTAATTTTTGTTTCTATGCTTCTTGTAATCTATATTCACACCTCCTTCCTACCTTACATTTCAAGTTGAAAATTTTGATTTCAATTTGTTTCCATGCTCATTTTGTTCACACATGTAATTCGTTCTATCCTTGCGTTTCTAAGCCTCTTGTAATTCATATCAAGTTGAAAACAATTATCACCTTCATTAATTACTATGTGGAATTAAACAAATAATAATTGTATCCATGTAAAATAATCTATATAAATGCGATTGTACGGCGATTTGAGAATGAAATCGCCGAAAAGATATCTTTGCTGAACTTCATGTTCTCTTCTTACTAATATCGTCTAGTTCACCATCCTCCTGATGATTACCGTTAAGGTGTCCCTTGTAACACAGTCCATTCATTTCGTGAACTTGAACTGTAGTTTCTCTCCAGCTTCTTTGAAAGTTTCCAACTTGGTCTTGAAGGTTACTTGCACTATGTAGTGGTCAAAGCCTACGTCGGCTTCGTTCGTCAATCTTGTGTCAAGTAGTCTGTATCTTCACTTTTTTCAGATTGAGATGAACCCTGTTTGAATTTTCTGTATCGTCTGGGAAAGCCTACTTTACCTGATGGACATATCTGCGCTTGCACACACTGCTCCCAATCACCAAATCACTAAACGTGCTAGGATTTCTACAAAGTATTCTCCATTCTCACTGATTTCATGGGAGTCCTGTCGATCCATGACGAGTTATTCTTTGTGTTATCTGCTTTAGATAAGATGGTTTCTTTAGTTGCGTAATCTACTCTTTTGTTATACTCTTTCTAGTTAAACCTTGTTTCTATACACACACATATATACGCAACCCTGTTATTTTTTGTTTCCAAGCCTAATTGTCTAATTATTCTATAAATAGTCAGTGTTTGTAACTCCTAATCAGTTAAATCATTCCGGACTAATGTTACTTTTAATTCCTACCAATTACTCCTTATGATAGTGGAAAAGTATGTTCATATCTTTAATATAATTTACATTTTTTAACGTTCAGGTTGTAACTAGTTGAGAAGAATCCTCGAAATAATAAAAGATGAGCTCATAAAGTCCTGGTACAATTGTTGTTCTTGCTTTGTTCATGCTTTAGTTTGATCGGCATTCACACCGCTCACCAGAATTCCAATGTTGCCAACTGGTTAAAGTCTCGTTCATTGCTATTTCCAGTCAGTTGTCCGAAGAATACCTCTTTCTCTACTCCACTCCGCCTACATTGGTTATAGCAATGTGCATAGCATAGTCCTAAGTTGCACTTCTTTAGTAGTTTCACAAGGTAAAATAGCATTCATCCAATCAATGTGTGCCCTTCGTTCTTTTACCGTTCTCATATATGACCTTATGAATTCATTGTTGATTGTTAATTTTATTATGATCGACTTTATCTTCTAAGCCATTTGCATTGGTCGTTTCTTAATTGGCCCTCATTTTGCTTTCAAAGTTACTTCGCATAAAACCGCAAAACTTTCAGTTAACGAAATATTCAAATGAATAAAACGAAGGTTGGATTCGTTTTGGGGATCATTGTAACACTTTTGTGGTGTCTGAATTACGTAGTTAGGAGAAATTTTCTGCAATCTGAACAGTTGAGTTCAGCGCTTCCAACACAAAGTATGAAATCATTCGTCACAAATTCATCGAGAATTCCAACTAATTGGAGTCAGAAGAAGAAAAGAACGAAACAGCGATATATTTCATCACAAATGGAAAGGAATGAGAACAAACTGACTCTGGGCTTTACTGAGAAGTATCTCGAGAATCTATACGATAATAAGAAGAGAGAGTCTGGTGTAAGTTGATTTATTCTGATTTATTGCTAACACACATTATGTTCACATTTCATGCAATGACTTCGGTATGAGAATCGTTCACAGTACATAACCACGACCCCATTAGCGATCGAAACCACATTCCTCAGTCTTTGTAAGCGAGGAGGTTTCGAATCAGTATATGGATGATAGTCTCATGTTTTCTGTTATAACTCGTCATTGTCAATTCTCCGTGTCATTACATCTCCATCCACTGTAGTCAGTTTCAACTCCAACTCGGTTGGGACCAACAATCACGACTTCTCACTTAGACTCTCCGTAATATATGTATGGGCCAGTCAGTCAGTCAGTCAGTCACTAAAGATAATTTGTCCTCTCTAGATTTGAGTAGAATTATCTCGAGTCGTCTAATTTCGATACCTTCAGTGGTCTACACAGGTCGATTCGTTGAAAACAACTTGGAGAATACGGTGATGATGACGACTTTATTGTAAACAACAGTCTCGATGCAGTGTAGTTCATCACTAATGCACCACGTAATATTCTCTTCACATCGGTCGGATATTACGGGAAAAACCAGTAACTAGAGACCTGGACTATTCTCATAGTAATACTAACAGGGATAGTATATAATTGTAAGAATGAATGAATTATAAGTTAATCGGAAGAGTGAGACAAATCACCTCCTAACGTAGGATATCTAGAGAGAAAATTGCCAGGCGGGAGATTGATTAGAGTCCAACAGCATAACTTTGTTAATTTCTTCACTGAGTTGAAATATTTGTCGACTGACCATCTGATTATCGTTGACAGACATTTAATGAATTGTAAGTTGAACGGTGAATTGATTAAGTGACTTTGCTTGCCAACACAGAGGGAACGTTTTCGACGGGAGTATGATCGGTTTTCATGCTTGTCGATTTGAAGTCTCGAAATTCATTTGAGATTGAACATCGACTCGTGGTCATGAGTGTACTTATTCACGGATTTATAAGCTGTGTGAGTGAGGAATATTTGAAGTATCACAAGTGAGTAATCAAAAGTCTTCTGGAGTATTGCAAAGTAATACTGTAACAGCAGAAGACAAGGGCCAGGCAACAGATCGTTCATTAAGGAAATCAACCCATATTTATAGATTTTCATGTACATATTTTGGATTATTGTTAGCAGGAAACACAGTCTTCTGATTGGTTGTTTCTCACAGAAAGTTAACCTTGCATCTCTTTGTGGTTATTTCTTGAATATCAGATCATCTATATGTTAACTGTATCCGCCTACGCAAAGCCTTTGTCCTCATTTTCCTCACGACCAATATTGCGGACATAAACATTGACGTGAATTACTGTCCACCAATTTTGACTAACAGCCAGCTCTCACCACAATACTAACCAGCGAGATAAGTTGAGCTTATGATTCATTGTCTTGTAGACTCTTGTTATGTGTTTACAGCCCGAATGATACAAAAATATAAATTATATGAAATATTTGAACATAAGTTTCGATGTGATGAGATCGAGTGTCAGACTGGAGACATGGGTAAGATAACGATGGAATGATGTGCGTTGTTGCGTCATTAGGTATTATCTCACTCATCCCACTTGTCATTCTAAGTCATTTGTTTTGCAACGATAAATTCTATGTTACTAAATTTCACACAGTTTTATGTGACGTTTTTATTTTTATTTTATTCACCTACCAATACTCTAATTTAACACCCCCTTCGAACACCTATTTTCCTATGAATTTTTCTATATATGACATTAAGTGTTTTGCTACTCGGTATAATCACGAACATTTTAGTTGCATTTTATGCTACTATTATTTTTTTTATGCATTCACAACTATGATTCAATTCCCTCACCGGATATTATTTCATAGAAACCATATTTATACGAGTGTACGTCTTGATAATAAATTGGTTGAGAAAAGTGTCTTCACTGAATCCCTTGGTTTGATTTTCTAAATACCTGGTTGTCTGATATGATCTTCTGAGGTCTCGTCTACTTCTAGCCTGTCTGTTCTGCCTCACTTGCCAGCCAGTGTGTCATAGAATTGTCTTTTGTCTTTCCTAGCACTCTTCATCACTCCTCTATTCAGTTCAGTGTACGTCGAACTTAGCTTCTCCCTCTCCTGTCGTCCATATTCGAATTGGTCCATCCTCTGTTTCATCATTTCCCTCTCTTCTTTTAGCTTACGGGTAGCCATTGAGAGTAATTTCTTGTCTTGGATCTTCTTTCCTCCTAGACCGGTTGTACACGTTCCCTTGAACATCACCTTCAGTGAGTTAGTTCCAATGTTCTTCCATGCAGGTTTCCTGAGTGATGCCACGTAGTGTCTCCAACTTCGCTCTGATGAATGCAGTTTCCGAGTGGTAAATTTTGATTGTGTTCTGTCTACAGTTGTACTGAATGCTTTCAGCTTGACCTTGAGGGTCTCTTGAACTAGATGGTGTTCTGAGTACACATTTGCTTCCCTTCTCGACTTTCTGTCCAGAAGGCTGTGTCTCCACTTTCTTGAAGTAGAGATTAAGTTTATGTGACTTTCGATGCATCCGTCAGGTAAAATCCGTGTTGCTTGTGTACATCCTTGTGCTTGTACACGCTACCTCCAGTCACCAAATCACTGAAGGCTGAGTGGTCTACGAAGGGGTTCTCCGTTCTTATTGAGTTTGCAAGGGGCTTCTCGTCCCTTGATGAATTATCTTCTTGTATTTTCTGCTCCCAGTTTATAAATCATAACGCCCAAGGGGATTTTGATGTCACCATTTGAGATTTTGTCCATTACTGTTTGCAGTTGTCTTTCTTCTTCTTCTTCTTCTCCACTCAGTCTGCTTCTTTCGCTTACGCGTAGCATTGTAACTTTCCTTGCAGGGGATCGGTTACCACCGCATGTGAGCTTCGACCTCGACTGGTGACATCATGATAGCTACTCAGTGTTTTCGTGGTTGTCGTCTGGGTGACCTGAGTAAACTGCTGACTCACCAGTTGACAATTTCGATAGTCCACATCCAGTCCACCTACTCTCATAGATTCGCAGCACTTTCATGTCATACCGTCTAATTTACTTGGCTACCTGAACAGCCTTCTTAGCTTCATACATTGTACGAACATTCAACATCCCAGTGCCTAGTTTAGCTCTCATCAAAAGAAGACGCATTTACTGGCTGACTGGCTTCCCAAAGTCTTTGACCAACTCTCTGTGTCATTTCGCCTCTCAGATTCCAGCAAAGAATAAGTTTGTCTTTTATATTTTCCATGTGCTTTGAAGTTTCTTTAGAGATTGAATTCATTTTCCAGAGTGGGTTCGCTAGTCTCACACCCAACCCTCCTTATTCTCCCGGATTTGAGATTAGTTAGAAATCTAGTGAGGTAGTAGACTAGGCGACGGCGGTGGTGGTGGTGGTCGTTGTGTTGATCAAAAAACATCTGCTAATTATGCGATTTGGTTGAGGAAAGAGAAGAAAACAGAGGGAACTTATCAAGACAATATCAGAATAGACTTCATTTTTAATGAACAGGTTAATAGATAAATCGCTCTTGATGAAATAAACAGCATGAAATGTAAATAATATTTATGCTTGTACGTGATGTTTCATTAGACTGATGATGTACCACTTAAAATCAAAGATATCCATATTTCCGCCTGCTTATGTGATAGCCGTAAGGTTACACCCTGTGGAATCGCTGCAAAGCCTTCTTTGGAAGTGGGCAGTAAGTGTCTTTTAAAGACAATTAAATAAACATCCATAGGAGTGATGTTAACAACTGTAAAAATGTGCAGTTGTAACAGTAATAGTAATAATAATGAAAATAGTGATAATAATGGAAAGTCAATTCGCTTCAAATGTTAGTTTCACAGTGTTTACTAAAATTCAACCTGCGTTGAATCTACATTTCTCCTCATGACGACAATGCTATGAAGTATACTTTATAGGTTTCAGAAACAACTATGCAAAGACAGGTGAGTTTATTCAGTAATTACTTCCATCTGCAACCAATTAATACTACAGTAAACAATTCTGTTGGCATTGGCGATAATGTAGAGTCATTGATGAAGTGAATGACCTTTAAGGGTAGGAAGTAACGTGTTCGATTGCCCTTGGTCTATAGAAGTTTGTTCAGTCAGCTTTAATATTGAAAGTGACTTGAGTAAAATAATAAGTATCCAAGTATAACTATGGTTACCAAACTGCTCATTAGTTTTCCACACATTCACTGTTACTATATTTGCAATTATTATTACTTTGTTGGATAAGTTCACATCAAAAGACGCTTATGATCTGTCTGTACACTCCTTTACTCACACAATATAACAGAATCGGATAATTTTATTAGGCATTGTGAAATAGTAGACTTTGAAACCAAATAGGATCGATGAACTAATTTCAAATATGATAAATATTGGTGGATGTAACTGTGAAGTACGCCTGTGTATCAGCTTACTAAGAAGGAAAAATCCTAATAGTAAGTACTTAAAAGTGAAATTTGATTTCTTTTAATGTATTAAAAATTCATTTCTTTTTCATATATTGTCTGAATAGAGTCCTTTAGCCTACAGAACTTGCCACTGAATGACTTTGTAGGAGTTTGTGGGTTTAAATACCACCCATACATATCCTTACTTTATCAGGTATCCTATGTAAGGTTTCAGATGTCAAACTCCTTATTTATATTATGGTCAGTGGTTCCACTGATATTTTTCATTATGTTGTTACTGAACTTCTCAGTAAATTTCATCAGGTAGTTATGTAGCACGAATGTTTCATCTATCTGTTTTGTTTCATCATTTAGGTATTCTGTAGTACTTCTCAGAATTTTCGCTTGATCGATTGCACACTCAGCCAATACTGCCTGTCCACTCCTAGTGCCCAGCTAGTGCCGTCTGTACATTTTCTAACTGAATCGTAGATTGAACTCCCTATAATTTACAGTTTATACATTTGTAATCCGTTTAGAATAACAATTTTACAATTATATTCTAACCCTGTGTAATTTTTGTTTCTATGCTTCTTGTAATCTATATTCACACCTCCTTCCTACCTTACATTTCAAGTTGAAAATTTTGATTTCAATTTGTTTCCATGCTCATTTTGTTCACACATGTAATTCGTTCTATCCTTGCGTTTCTAAGCCTCTTGTAATTCATATCAAGTTGAAAACAATTATCACCTTCATTAATTACTATGTGGAATTAAACAAATAATAATTGTATCCATGTAAAATAATCTATATAAATGCGATTGTACGGCGATTTGAGAATGAAATCGCCGAAAAGATATCTTTGCTGAACTTCATGTTCTCTTCTTACTAATATCGTCTAGTTCACCATCCTCCTGATGATTACCGTTAAGGTGTCCCTTGTAACACAGTCCATTCATTTCGTGAACTTGAACTGTAGTTTCTCTCCAGCTTCTTTGAAAGTTTCCAACTTGGTCTTGAAGGTTACTTGCACTATGTAGTGGTCAAAGCCTACGTCGGCTTCGTTCGTCAATCTTGTGTCAAGTAGTCTGTATCTTCACTTTTTTCAGATTGAGATGAACCCTGTTTGAATTTTCTGTATCGTCTGGGAAAGCCTACTTTACCTGATGGACATATCTGCGCTTGCACACACTGCTCCCAATCACCAAATCACTAAACGTGCTAGGATTTCTACAAAGTATTCTCCATTCTCACTGATTTCATGGGAGTCCTGTCGATCCATGACGAGTTATTCTTTGTGTTATCTGCTTTAGATAAGATGGTTTCTTTAGTTGCGTAATCTACTCTTTTGTTATACTCTTTCTAGTTAAACCTTGTTTCTATACACACACATATATACGCAACCCTGTTATTTTTTGTTTCCAAGCCTAATTGTCTAATTATTCTATAAATAGTCAGTGTTTGTAACTCCTAATCAGTTAAATCATTCCGGACTAATGTTACTTTTAATTCCTACCAATTACTCCTTATGATAGTGGAAAAGTATGTTCATATCTTTAATATAATTTACATTTTTTAACGTTCAGGTTGTAACTAGTTGAGAAGAATCCTCGAAATAATAAAAGATGAGCTCATAAAGTCCTGGTACAATTGTTGTTCTTGCTTTGTTCATGCTTTAGTTTGATCGGCATTCACACCGCTCACCAGAATTCCAATGTTGCCAACTGGTTAAAGTCTCGTTCATTGCTATTTCCAGTCAGTTGTCCGAAGAATACCTCTTTCTCTACTCCACTCCGCCTACATTGGTTATAGCAATGTGCATAGCATAGTCCTAAGTTGCACTTCTTTAGTAGTTTCACAAGGTAAAATAACATTCATCCAATCAATGTGTGCCCTTCGTTCTTTTACCGTTCTCATATATGACCTTATGAATTCATTGTTGATTGTTAATTTTATTATGATCGACTTTATCTTCTAAGCCATTTGCATTGGTCGTTTCTTAATTGGCCCTCATTTTGCTTTCAAAGTTACTTCGCATAAAACCGCAAAACGTTCAGTTAACGAAATATTCAAATGAATAAAACGAAGGTTGGATTCGTTTTGGGGATCATTGTAACACTTTTGTGGTGTCTGAATTACGTAGTTAGGAGAAATTTTCTGCAATCTGAACAGTTGAGTTCAGCGCTTCCAACACAAAGTATGAAATCATTCGTCACAAATTCATCGAGAATTCCAACTAATTGGAGTCAGAAGAAGAAAAGAACGAAACAGCGATATATTTCATCACAAATGGAAAGGAATGAGAACAAACTGACTCTGGGCTTTACTGAGAAGTATCTCGAGAATCTATACGATAATAAGAAGAGAGAGTCTGGTGTAAGTTGATTTATTCTGATTTATTGCTAACACACATTATGTTCACATTTCATGCAATGACTTCGGTATGAGAATCGTTCACAGTACATAACCACGACCCCATTAGCGATCGAAACCACATTCCTCAGTCTTTGTAAGCGAGGAGGTTTCGAATCAGTATATGGATGATAGTCTCATGTTTTCTGTTATAACTCGTCATTGTCAATTCTCCGTGTCATTACATCTCCATCCACTGTAGTCAGTTTCAACTCCAACTCGGTTGGGACCAACAATCACGACTTCTCACTTAGACTCTCCGTAATCTATGTATGGGCCAGTCAGTCAGTCAGTCACTAAAGATAATTTGTCCTCTCTAGATTTGAGTAGAATTATCTCGAGTCGTCTAATTTCGATACCTTCAGTGGTCTACACAGGTCGATTCGTTGAAAACAACTTGGAGAATACGGTGATGATGACGACTTTATTGTAAACAACAGTCTCGATGCAGTGTAGTTCATCACTAATGCACCACGTAATATTCTCTTCACATCGGTCGGATATTACGGGAAAAACCAGTAACTAGAGACCTGGACTATTCTCATAGTAATACTAACAGGGATAGTATATAATTGTAAGAATGAATGAATTATAAGTTAATCGGAAGAGTGAGACAAATCACCTCCTAACGTAGGATATCTAGAGAGAAAATTGCCAGGCGGGAGATTGATTAGAGTCCAACAGCATAACTTTGTTAATTTCTTCACTGAGTTGAAATATTTGTCGACTGACCATCTGATTATCGTTGACAGACATTTAATGAATTGTAAGTTGAACGGTGAATTGATTAAGTGACTTTGCTTGCCAACACAGAGGGAACGTTTTCGACGGGAGTATGATCGGTTTTCATGCTTGTCGATTTGAAGTCTCGAAATTCATTTGAGATTGAACATCGACTCGTGGTCATGAGTGTACTTATTCACGGATTTATAAGCTGTGTGAGTGAGGAATATTTGAAGTATCACAAGTGAGTAATCAAAAGTCTTCTGGAGTATTGCAAAGTAATGATAAGAAGCAGGATAATTTGAGCTCATGATTCATTGTCTGGTAGTCTCTTCTTATCTGGTTGCAACTCGAACGATACAAAATATAAATTATATGAAATATTTGAACATAAGTTTCGATGTAATGAGATCGAGTGTCTGAATTGAGGCATAGGTAATGCCTGGATAATGCTGGAATGATGTGAGTTGTTGCATCATTAGGAGTTCGAATGATTGGCTATTTGAAGGATGATTAGACGAATATTCTTGATGGAAAAATAGCGTTTACAATATTTAGGAAGTGTCGAAGTTTAACTATGACGAGCATATCGATTCGATATGTTGTATAAAAGAGAAAATGAATTTCGATGATGTAATGTAAGAACATGAAGGTGAGTGACGTTGAGATGAAGCTACATATCAGGAGATAATGGAGAATGAAGGGCGTAACGAATACTGCATTACTTCGTTTAATTCACCAAGGTAGCGTGGTGTTTGTAGTTGTTGTTTTTCTGCAGAAGAAATCTGTCTTGTACGAAGATTTAAGGAAAGCAAAAATTTATTACTAAACTCAAAATTTACATTGTTTTATTTTCTTTTCATCAATTTCAGATCAAGAAAAAATTAATTGTGAACTATGGTAGAATTCAGATAACTACCATTAGTAACTTCTCTTCATGTCATGCCTGTGAATGTGAACTGACATTTGATAGATCCAAATGGCAAGAGTCTGATATTGTCATCTTAACAGACCAGACCTATCCTCATGGAGAAAGGCGACCGAATCAATTATGGTTCATTTTTGTACATGAGTCTCCTCTTCATGTGAGTATCGCCGATTACTTGGGCAACAAAGTGAGTTATAAATTCTAAATGATTGATTTCTCATATGCGGGTTGGATTCTATCACTCTTATTTGCTATGCAGTTATTGTGCTGAATAACTTACCGTTGCCATACACTTTAAATTTATTCGGGTTCTTTGGGCAATAAAAATACTCCGCTGTCAGAGGACGCCAATAAACAATAAACCTGTGTCTAGGGAATCGTGCCACTTACCTCTAACCACCTAGTAGTTCAGTCCATGAAATGTTCTCAAAAAAACGGAATATTACAAGATTGATTCTTTCATAAAATGATAACATGCACTAGTTAAAGTCTTAGTTCTATGTTTCCTTTGATTACTTTGTGGTGAGAGCTGTCTGCTAGCTAGAACTGGTAGACAGCAATTCACGTCAATGTTTACGTTCCGCATCGGAGTTATGAGAAAAAACAAGAACAAAGCCTAACCCTGAGCAACCCAACAACCAATCGCAGCAGACTTACTGTGGGCGGATACGATTCGCAGATATGCATGCCACAGACTGTTTAAGAAACGGCAACAAAGAAATGACAGAATAACCTTCAGCAGGGAAACAACCAATCAGAAGACGCTGTTTCTCTGCTAACAATAACGAATAATAATGTACATAATGTCATGAGGTCATGTGAGCAGGAGATGAAAGCATGTGGTCAGAATGTGGTGAAAAAGTTGGCAGAAAACAGAAGGCAGTGGAGGTGGGCAGCTGAAGCCCTATGTTCCTCTAGGGATTAAAGGATATAATAATAATAATAATAATGTACATAAAAGTCAATAAATATCTGCTGATTTTCTCAATGAACGATCTGCTGCCTCGCCATTGTCTTCTGTCTTTACAACTTAACAATCAATAGTAACCACTCACACAGCTTTTCCTAATGTTGGAAAAACTTAACTTTGCATCGATTAAGATGAAGTTCAATATTAACATTGATTGACTTAAGAAATTTTAAATTCTAAGAAATTTTACAATGAGTAGCAAATAGGCGTCTTCAAAACAGGCATAGGTTTTCAACCATCTACGTATATCAGGAGAATCAGATTCGTGTTCTACCTGTGCATCATTCATGGCACAGTTATCATGTCTGAAGAATGCGAAGCCCCCTGTTTTACATAGGAAAACAGCTATCTTGTCTCTCAATAAGGTGCAAGCTTTGTAAATTTTTTGACAAATGGACAACACACTGTAAATTTGTTGAAGTTGGTATTAACCCTGGCAGAAACCATAATTGAAAGAAAGAAAAGTTCCAAGTATGTTGAGCGTGAGTTATGCGGAGTGTTCATACACTTTTTCCCGTTTATGAAGTTGAATGAAGCAGGAACAACAGTTTGTGCAGAATAAGATGATGCCATCGTTTATTTTATCGGCTTCTCATCAGCTGCGTTCAGCCGACAGAAATTATTAAGTCTATGCATAGAAACATTTTCCTGTGTCACCTTTATCTCAGATGACAGTCACATCTGGAGAAGAAAAAGAGGGACACACCTCAATTTTCATTAACATCTACCAAAAAGCCTGTGTCTCAAGGGAGCAGACGCTTTCAATAGTGCCATTATCAGGTGTCGCCCGGTTACAGGTCATGAAGTGGACACCATGAAATCCTTCAGAATTATTGATAGACAAAATAGCTCAGTCCTCCTGGAGTTTGGTGAAGCGATCTCTATCACACGCCTGAAATCCAACTGATGTGTTCAGAAGAAATCAGATATCAGTCTTTCCTTACACTAACAACTGACTATCTTTACTCTCTTTCATTCGATTGCGTAATCTTTGTCTTTAACCTCTATCCCTTCGCCGTAACGTAACTTTGCTTGTCTCTTCTTCCTATGATTTGAGTTGGATTCACCAGACTGTTACTTGAGGTACGAATTACTCATCCACCTCTTGTCTTTACTTCGTAACTCTTTTGCCATTGCATCCAAGCGTTTATTCATGTATGCACACACTTTCTGTGTGTAAGCTATATAGGTGTAATTTCTGAGCACTGCTTATCAAGTTTTCAGCCTCCTATCAACTGACATCATATGAAATTTGCAAATATGTTAAAATTGTTTTGTATACAAACTTAGTAGTTTCTTTTGGCTGAGTGTAACTGATGAAAAGCCAACAAAATAAACAATAGTATCCTCTCATTTTGCACAAACTTATGTTCTTACTTTATTCAAATATACAGTCTTTGAAAAGAGAAAGAACTACGATACAGAATTTGTGGAAACAGCAAAAGAATTCCATTGTAGAATAAATTTCTTCTATAAAACTAGACATTTCAAGTGATAGTTTGCAGGGTTTTGATTTCTTCATCAGTATGCACCCACCAATGGCGCTCGAACCGAGTCACTTTTGACCACTAGGCGAGCTCGTAAACCACTAAGCAGCTGTTACACGACCAAATGACCAGCCCATGAATTCCATCTACTGCCAATTCACAACTAAGCGAAACCACTAGCTGATGTCTTCGGTGAGTGCTTTTCCCACACCCTACCTGCTGTACACCACTGGTCAGGACTTCTCACTATAACCCAGGTTACTACCTACCTGAATTAGGCCTTGTCGCTAGACAGTGATAAGTTTTCATTCACTGATGAGGTCTTGATATAATTATGAGCAGTAAATTGCGCTGGAAACTTTATGAGTAAATATTACTGTATCACTGTATGGTTTTATCAAATGAATTTATTCTATGATGGAATTATACTCTACTGCAGTGTCCAAGTTCTGTCCTAATATTGCCAAAAAGATTATTCAACCTTCAAGAAAAGCTTCATTCTGAAATCAAGGGAGTGACTTAAAAATAATGTAGCCTATTTGTGGAGATTTCAGGTAGTAAGGTAAATTAGAGATGAATATAAGAAAAATTATATATGAAACAATACCATAAAGTATTCTGGTAAGTGCTAGTAGATTGACCTGTGCCCCGCATACACCTACATCCACAGTTCACTGTTAGTAGTAAAGTTGGGGCCAGTTATCCCCTAGCGCTATAAACATTAAACAGTTTTCCCACGACTTTATTATTATATAAGCTAATTATACCATCGTTTCTTCTTAGACTCAAAAATTTAGCAAAATACTAATGCTTATTATTTGCTATCAGGTAAACTACACAATCACCTTCCGAACGGATTCCTCAGTCTACCTTCCGTATCATAATTATAAGCCAATCGATCCAACTCATGGTCCGGATACAAGATATCCACTTCCTTCTCGTAATTATGCTACTGGGAAGACTAAAATGGCTGCATGGTTTGTGACTAATTGTTTCGGTAAAAGTCCAAGAAATCAATATGTGCAGGAGCTGTCAAAGCATTTAAAGGTGTGTGTGTGTGTGTCATTGTTTGCAGTACTCGCAGAAATTGCTTTTAAAAATGTGTTTCACTGGATTATTTGTTAAATACACTTTCCGTATAATGATATTTTTATAATGGTAGCTAATTTCCACTTTTCAATTCATATTATTCGTTAGTAAGAATTGCTAACAAATCAATATTTTAATATTTTTCTGTATGTTCGGCTGATTTTATTTATTTAATTAAATCTGTCAATACTGAGTGGAAATAATAGTTTATAGACAGGATTACAGAAATGACTTGAAGACAGTGATAAGATATAACTTGCATTACATTAAATTATCTTCTGGTGAAGAGATAGTCACACATTTAAATCTTCTCTTCATTGGTCTCTTCAAGTTCAGTGATACAAAATGCTTAAGAGTGTCAAGAGACGCGGAACTTATTTCAAGGGAGCCTTGTTAACTACGTCTTCCTAAGACACGACGACCAAACTATGCAACGAATTAATATCAACCGAGCTAGCTGTCTTCCTTCTTGTTCAGATTGACCCTATTTCAAACAAACAAGTGTACAAATTCGCATCGGGAAACAAATGTTTTCAATTCTTGACTCTATTTCGTCCAGATAATCATTGAGGAAATAAGGTTATCTTAGATTATTAGTATATATCATCCATAAGTTTTGCAGTAGACTGGATAATGCGACAGACAACGGCAACCAACGAGGGAACAGGCATAAAATGGACTCACACAAAAAAGAACTTGGAGGATCTGGACTTCGCCGATGATATATGTCTGATTTGCCACAAACTGGAAGATATGCAAGTGAAAAGCAACAAGTTGGAAGAAGAAGCATCCAGAGGAGATAGGCCTTCAGGTGAACATAGATAAAACAGAGGTGGTGAAGATTCCTGAACAATACCAACAGACAACAATCAGCCAGCATAAATGGGAGGAACCTGGAAGAAACAACCTCCTTCACCTACCGACACGGGAAGCATAGTTTCAACCACAGGCGGGCGGAACTGACGAGGATATCAAAGCCAGAATCGGAAAAGCTAGTCAGGCTTTCATTACTCTCAAGTCTGTGTGGAGGTCAACAGCACCCAGCATCAAAAATAAGAGCCGGATTTTCAAATCCAATGTGAAGTCAGTGCTACTTAACATACGGATCAGAGACTTGGCCAGCGCGTCATAAAGAGTATCTCAAACAAACTTCAGACCTTCAGTAACAGTTGTCTTCGCTCAATACTACTCAAGATCAGATGGCCTGCCAGAAAAGATCAGCAACAGGGTGGGATGTCTGGCAATGAGCGAACCAACACAGCAGGAACCGATTGTGAAACAAACAGGCAGGAAGAAATGGAGGTGGATTGGGCATACTCTGAGGAAACCATCAAGTGACATCACTAGACAAGCCATCACTCCAGTGGAACCCGAAAGGGAAGCGGGCGGCGAGTTGGTCCTCAGTGCAAGGGTGACTCGGATGAGGTCATGTGAGAGGAGATGAAAGCATGTGGTCAGAATGTGGTGAAAAAGTTGGCAGAAAACAGAAGGCAGTGGAGGTGGGCAGCTGAAGCCCTATGTTCCTCTAGGGATTAAAGGATATAATAATAATAATAATAATGTACATAAAAGTCAATAAATATCTGCTGATTTTCTCAATGAACGATCTGCTGACTCGCCATTGTCTTCTGTCTTTACAACTTAACAATCAATAGTAACCACTCACACAGCTTTTCCTAATGTTGGAAAAACTTAACTTTGCATCGATTAAGATGAAGTTCAATATTAACATTGATTGACTTAAGAAATTTTAAATTCTAAGAAATTTTACAATGAGTAGCAAATAGGCGTCTTCAAAACAGGCATAGGTTTTCAACCATCTACGTATATCAGGAGAATCAGATTCGTGTTCTACCTGTGCATCATTCATGGCACAGTTATCATGTCTGAAGAATGCGAAGCCCCCTGTTTTACATAGGAAAACAGCTATCTTGTCTCTCAATAAGGTGCAAGCTTTGTAAATTTTTTGACAAATGGACAACACACTGTAAATTTGTTGAAGTTGGTATTAACCCTGGCAGAAATGGCTGTATACATTAGAAAACCAACATGTTACAATAGGATTCTATTCAATCTAATAATAACTTTTACTTTTGATATCCCAAAGAAATACAATGAGTCAACATTGTTTCCATCTTAGATTGATATTTATGGAAGATGTGGTACAAAGAGCTGCCCGAGAACTTCAGAAACTGAGTGTTTCAAGCTTCTTGAGAAAGACTACAAATTCTACCTAAGCTTTGAAAACAGCTTATGTCCGGATTATATAACGGAGAAGCTTTTCAGGAATGGTTACATGTAAGCGAAATAAATGGAATGTTGCCTTGTCTTATATACTTTTCTTAATATTTTTTCTATGTTACAAGAAACACAGTGGAGGATTCCCACAGTGTGCTTCATTATTGGATGTCACAAGTGTTTAGTTTGATCTGAAGCAGTGTACAAGAAAAGCAGACGGATTATCATTGGTTGTTAAGTTTGTTGTAGAAGAGCTACATCAACTGATTTAAAGGAACACATCCAGCTGGGAACAAGCTAATTCTTATTTATCTGTCACAGTGACAACACAATATAGGTCTAAAGCGACGATCAACAACTCGACTGATTCTACAGCCAAATATTGAGCAAGCGATAAATAGGTGACAAAGAGACTTTCTCGCACTTATCGTAAAACACTTTTGATGTCTAACAACAAGCAGTAAAATTATGAATAACGAAAACACTTCTCACTGAGTCAGTGAATCATGAAGGTTTTGAATGTCCGTGTCGAATACTTATGCCGAATTCTATAACCATATGAAATCTCCCTACATAAATCCTGTGAGCAGTGTGTTAACCACTTTTAAAACCGAATGTGGATGGACATGACAATGTTGGTTTTCTCTGCTGTTCTCCAAGTAATCCGACGGTTTTTATAAGTCTGCAGACTGCTTCTACTCATTTCCTCCGACTAACAGATTGTTTCTCTATTATTTATTTTGCTGTCACAGGAATAATATAGTTCCCGTTGTTATGGGGGCGTCAGTTGAGGAGTATGAACGCGTTTCACCAGCTCACTCATTCATCCATGTAGATCAATTTGAATCACCTGCAAAGCTTGCTGAATATCTCAAGTATTTGGACCGTAATGACACCGCATATAACGAATACTTTGCATGGCATGGTCATGGAGTTATAGATGACTGGAAGCCTAGACCGATGTGTTTGTTGTGCTTATTCGCTCATGTTGTCGATCAGCTTCAGCCACATTCATTTCCAAATGTTTCTCAGTGGTGGAATGGTGCTTGCAATGGTCGAAAACTGCGTTGGAATCCTAGTAGCCGATGAAGTATTTTCACTTCCAGTCGTAGTTATTCCTACGTGATTGCCATAATCTTAAGCCTGTTGTGTAACTTGTGAAGGCTCTACTGTTATTTTGTAAATAAATCGAAAGGAAACATTATGTATGCACCATCATCATCATCATCATCGTTTTGTAATACTATGTGAAGTGCATATGTTGGATTTCAGTTATCGATCGTTTGCTGCAATAACTAGTAATTCATGTGATGCAGCAGACAATACATTCCTAAAAAGGATGTAGCCATAATTTCATGAGTTTAGTGCAAACGGAATGTGTTATAGTTGCAATGGACTATTTACATAAAGACATTTACGTTTCGCCTTTGGATGCTATCCTTGTTTGTGATATCTCCATTTGTTTACACTTTTGAGCAAAACAAGAAGTAATAAATCCCTTAAGTAAGATATAGGGAACGGGATGAAAAAATTGTTTGTGGAAATATAATCACACAAAATGTCAACTGTTTTGATCAAAGGCACATTAGTAAATAACGAGTTTACATCAAAAGAGTACATATTCTTATTCATAATATTAATGTTACTATCGTCAAGATCATCAACCAATTCAAATGTATCCTTTAACACGTACTTACAGAATTGTGTTTTGACTGGATCCAGTAATTCTACTAACCATTTAGCAAGTTTATGCGTTGGGGATTTGCACATTGACAATATAGGACATAGAGGATTATTGGGTTTATGTATTTTTGGCAACCCATACATATGTGGGAATTTACAATCTGATGGTTTTAATGAGTCAAGTTTATCTTTACTTATAGCATTTAGGCCATGAAGCTTGAGTAGATTAGCTGTCACTGTGCCCTGCAACAACTGAATATCTTCTGAGGAGGGATCACGGCTAAATTTGCTCTTATCATCAAGAATAGACATCATTTTAGATTTGTAATCACTTTTATTCATAATGACGACTCCAGAACCTTTATCAGGTTTATTAATAATTATATTAGAATTCTCCCGTAGCTCTTTCAAGGCTTTGAAATGCTGGGAATTTAAAATACTTTTCTCCTTTGGGTTGCTGTTTAAAAACTGGTGAGCTGTATCCACCATCTTGGCCTTCATAGGATGTTGCGGCAAGAGGTTTGAGTTAGTCATATAAGTTTTCAAACTCAGTTTGGATGGCTAAATCTGTAAATTGCGTGCGAGAAACACAAAATTTGAGTCCAAGGTATAAAGCTTCTTTCTGATGAGTAGATAGAGTAATATCAGAAAGATTTGTAACGTACTTATCAGGATTCACCGGAAAGACATCTACGCGGTTTCGATCATCAATTGAACTCTTCAACTTATTTTGTGTATTCGTCTTTGTTTTCTGAGTAACGTCTTTACAAAACTGAAGAAATTTCATGTGATATATTATTGATAATTCAGATAAAATAAGTGACGCATCGGTATGAAGAACAAGTAGTCCTTGTAACGTTTGTTTAACATTTTCTATATGTGACCTTGTAAGACGAACAAGATTAGAGATATTTGGTTGTAATTTACTGAATTTCAAAGTTTTATAAAATTGCCTCGGGAAGAAATGATTTTTAATACATAATTCATAAAATTCCAACGTGTTACGTTCGACGATAATCTTACACCTAAGGTTAACCAGTTCATTTAACCTTTTGATAGTGTGTGGAGGGAGCCTTCTCTTTAAAATTCTATGTACTAACAATATTAGGTTTACATTTGAAGGCGATTGTTTCCGCCAAGTTGATAGTGTTGCTATGGGCAGTCCGTTAGGGCCCCTTTTAGCAGATATTTATATGTCGTAAAACAAGAAGACCAAATCCTGCAGAATAAGGTTATCTGATACTGTTTCTTTGCTTTTACCACAATGATGGAAAAGTTGAGATATTCAGCAAATAGAAATGAATATATACAATTGGCACGCATCAAATTCACGGACTCACAATAAATACTTTTTAATCTCCTAATTGATTGTCTGACATTCTAATGATAATTCTTCGACGAAGATTTTCGTCGTGGCAACTTTACATTCTAATGTTTACATTTTAATGATTGTTGGATTCTCTAAGTTCCCGTTTTTTTTTGTTTGTTTTGATTCCGAATAGTTTAATATTGCACCCTTACTGGTATTTGGTGGCTGGAGAACGATTAGCGGTGAGGAGACGGCGGGGGGGGGCATTCTGCAAACTAGTCTGCTTATTTTCATGTATCATAGTAATGAAATGAATCAGAAAATATGATAGGTATATTGTGATAGCAAATAAGATTTAAAAACGGTGATTCATTATAATTCATTTACTCTGTCCAAAGATAACTGGGAGTTTTTTTTACATGCATTGTTTAATAACATTGCCCGTCTTCACGATACTCTTGACCACTCTTAGTTTTAAATCATTCTTATGGAGGTGGTAGAATTTCAGATGAAGCGAGTTTTTTGCGGTTATCTGGTCTTTTCTGTAGATGTCAACTAGCAGAAATGATAAATACGAAGAAATCGGAAAAAGAACTTCTCCTGTGACTAAGATCAAAAACCACTGTAGTTTATCAGGAATATCTAGAAAACGGTGGATAAATTACTTTGACCTTTTGGAATAGCCACATCACATGAATTGGATTAATCTCAACAAACCCTATTTAAACTGCAAGACATGATCAACTGTGACAAAATTAAACAACACTATCAACATAGTATATTCCCTTTGTGACCATTTCATTTTCATAGTTGTAAAACAGACAGTTACAAGAACGTATATTGTGCATCTGTGTGCGTATTAAAATTCCATAGGTGGTGGAAGGACTCAAGTACGATTATATTAATGAAGATGTTTGTGAATTGCAGACTCATTAGAAATAGAAATGTATAAAGGTCACGACAATTACAACAGACAATGAATGTTAATATGTGAATTTATACCATACAAGAGTTAATGGCTTTATGGTGTTCATCAAAGATAACAGGTGTTCTCGAACACAGTGTAATGTGTTGCTCGATTATCGTCCCACGTACTTAGCGCTACAACAGAACATGAATACAAAAATGCCCATGGAGTCGGAGAACACAGGAAGCGTTTCCTTAACACTGGGGTGCACCGGTGGATGGTTTAAGTTTTTTGAAGGGTGGCAGTAAAAATTGTATCCGTAGATGACATCGTCAGTTGGTTTTTACGGAGCGTATTTTTAAGGTTACTTATCCTCAATTCGAGTATTAAGCACTGATACCATGATGAAAGATCAGGTCGTCACTCTTTGTCTACATCTAGCTATGTTAGATTTTATAGCTTACTACTGTAGGAGTAGAATTTTGACGCTGAACTTTCTTATAAAGAAACACTGTGAAGGAATCTTTTTTTCCTTCACGTTCCCCAGTGGAACATAGGGCTCCAAGCTAGTGGCTTGAAGTTTCTGTAGCAGTGTTTATTTTACAGGATGGGGTTGCTAGCCTCATGCCCAACCTTTCCTCTTTACCACCATTACTTCTGGCTTAGGGAGGTAAAGGAGTGCATCGGCCGGGAATCGAACCCAGACCATGTGTATGGTCGGCGAGCGTCCTAACCGCTATACCACTGACGCGTGAAGGAAATTAAATCTGTTTTATTCACATTACTGCCACTATCACTCTCAGTTTATATGAGTTTGTCGGTCTATAGTTTGAACGGCCTTTACTGTGTAGACACTAATGCTGACACTACGTGTTTAAATAACATATATGGAGTAGAGGTTCTAGAGTCAGTTGTTAGTTGAATTGGATAAACTGTCTGACTGCCATCAATAGTGCTTTGATTTCTGCTAAAATTATTATTTGCGGTCGTTAAATAAGATCATTTTCACACAGAGAATATTTACCACAGATTATAATTACTTTCAGTGCTATTCATGATAGTTCTTATGAATTTCTGATGTCTTTATGTGGACTTGTAAGGCATTTATTTGTTGGAATCAAGCTACTGCTAATGCTGAATTGTTTTCATCAGATTCGGAAGTCGCTATATTCCTGTCGCTCTTGAAACTGTCCCCCATTAATGCTTATGTTGAATCCTTCAACTTCTACCATTATAAATTTAGATATACTGTTCTGGCACGTTTACGAACATTACCTGATACAGTAGGATAAGTGTTACATTTACGTTGGGAATAATGCCTTCATGTTGATATTTCTGGTGGGCTTTTGTGAGGGATAGTACAAGATCTCTTACTAGTGATACATTACAGTAACATGTTAGTCGAGCAAACTTAACGGATATCGGATAGGCATGGGAAGAGTTAGGGGTCGCCAAATCAGAATCTGCCAGAGATTTGTGAAATCTCTGATAGTTGGTTTGAACCAGTTACCTAGCGAGGTGTTAGGGAGCAGTGATGTCGATCAAATTAGTCCTCAATGGCAAAGACTCGTTCACTCTTTGAAATCTGTCAGATGCACTAAATCCTTATTATTCCTGAAATAATTATCTTCCCAGCCGTACATTTCCTTTCATTCATTTCCTTTCATTTTCCCCTTCTTTACACGCTACACTGAGCGTGGCGATATGAACTGATGTGCTTTGATTCTACGTTACAAATACAGTCAATTGGTTATCATTTAATTGTTGACAATTATTCACATCACTTTAGCAGGTTTCAAACTGGAATGCATAAGCAAACATATTTGCAAACCTCAAACATTTATTCTCCTTTATGAATCTGAATAAAGCAAGAACAGCGGTTTGTGCAAAATAAGATGGTATCGTCATTTATTTCTACGGCTTATCGTCGACTGTCTACAGCCTAAAGATGTTATTAGGTATATGTAGAGAAAGAATTTTAGCATACTTGCAATTTTCACATTATATCAGCTGATGGAGAGTTCCAGTTTAAACAAAAAATCAATGTATGCATACAGTGGTAAGTGGGTTGCGTAATAAAGGCAAGAGGTTAAGGCCAAAGATTACGCAATCGAATGAAAGAGAATAAAGATAGTCAGTTGTTAGTGTAAGGAAAGACTGATATCTGATTTCTTCTGAACACATCAGTTGGATTTCAGGCGTGTGATAGAGATCGCTTCACCAAACTCCAGGAGGACTGAGCTAGGACTGAGCTATTTTGTCTATCAATAATTCTGAAGGATTTCATGGTGTCCACTTCATGACCTGTAACCGGGCGACACCTGATAATGGCACTATTGAAAGCGTCTGCTCCCTTGAGACACAGGCTTTTTGGTAGATGTTAATGAAAATTGAGGTGTGTCCCTCTTTTTCTTCTCCAAATGTGACTGTCACCTGAGATAAATAAAAATGTGTATACACAGTTAGAACTAACATGGGAAGAGTATCTGTCGACTTTTGATTGCACTAAAGAGCATGTTGTCCG